CGGCATCATCTCCCCCACTCACTCGGGACCCAGGACCTCTGGAAGCTGACACTGCTTTCAACTAGGCTGATCGTGACACTTGAACTAGGAAGGTGCAACCACACTGGTGAGCTGAACCTTTGGCTAGTCCCGGGAATATTTCTAGCCAGGGAAATTTCAGTCCAGATCAGAGCAGGCTCTGGCTGCCCCAAGGTCTGCTTGATCTGCCTTGTCCCACGTTGTAGCACAGAAGTCAAACAAGGCTCTGGTCAGGATGGGGTGACTCGGCAGCAGAAGCAGAGCTAGGGATGACTTAGTGCCCACTTCCTTCCCCATCTGCAGCTGAGCAGCTCTTTTCTCCCACCACACTTGGTCCTTTTGGAACACAGAGCAACCCAAGTCAGAAATCGAGGTAGGATAAAGAGCCTTTTTGTTCTTTCCATTGTTCTTTCAAACCCTGTAACTGCAGGGATACCTGTCTCCTCACAATGGAGCCCTCTTTCACTCCTGGATTTTTCCTACCCGCACCTTCCCTCCTCCTCCTCCTCGCTTTCCATTTCTTCTCTCTGCTCTGCTTTACCCCACGTAATCTTCCTTTCTTTTGCTCCTCCTGCTTCCCTTCTTCCTTTCCCCTGTCTCCAGCCCTGTACCCCTTCTCATTGCCCTTACTTCTCAAAAGAGGCTTCTGTCCTTTCCTTTGTCCCTGCAGCACCCACCTCTGGCCAGGGGAGATGAGAAGCCCTGGCCTGACTGTTCTCATGCGACAGACTTCAGCGCAGCACAGCGTTTTTCACAGCACCAACGCTCTTGGCGAGCCTGTTTTCCATTCACTACTCAGGTAGTTTAGTAATACTGACAGGGGATACAGACAGACCCTCACACAGGTAAGGTCTTGGTTTTCTGAAACAAGCCCACATCTTAAATTAACCTCTAGGAGAGGTGTTTGTCTTTTCATGGGTCTATAATTACCAAGCTTACCAGTGCATGGTATAAATAATTTTCTTTATTGGCAAGTTTCAACTATGTGCTCAGCCTATACAAGACACAACGATGCAGAAAGTTCTTGTCCCAGATAAAAGATAAACATGGGGGAAATGGGAGCTAAGGGTAAAGGATAGATAGAGTAATATTTTTCAAGTATTACATTCCATTCTGTAGGTGTTACAAACAGGACTGAGGCTTAAAGTAAGACGGCAATAACCTGGAGACAAGATGTCTGCAGCTCTTGTGTTTTCCTAACCCCACCTGATTTTTAGGGCATTCCCTGGTCCAGATCTGACCACTGAAAACAAGGATCCAACAGCGTGTTGCTGCGAAGCTTGCTCACATGCCCTCAGAACCAGTACCTAGCTGGCTGTTGGAAGGGTTCTTCGGAGACCTTTTGCCTTCTGAATGCCAGAAACTACAGAATCCACATAGTGCTTGGGAACGGCCTTTGCTGAGGTAGTTTGTTGGCCAGGCAAGCCTAAGTGCCAAATGAATTAACTGCACGACAAAACATCTTCATATTTCTCCAGGTTCCTGACTCTTCTGAAGAGTTTCTAACATACTTGTCAGAAAACTCTGCAGTAACCCAGCAAGGCTGAACTTGCCCTGGATCTTCAGAATCCCAAGGGAGGACAAATGGAGGTGAAGAAGGGTCAAGACAGTTCTGAAAAGACACAACAAATTCTGCCCACAGGGGCATGGTCCACAAGGAGGTGTAATATCGGTATTTCAGCTCACTGAGAGAGGCCCTCAGTAAAAGAGTGAATTTTGGTTTGACATCTGAATATGATATTTTAAAAACATGTTTCATCAAAAAACATGTATTCATCATTAGTGCTTCAGAAGCAAAGAGGGCAGGGTGCAACCCAGCTGGGGAAAAAAAAAGAGAGAGAAACATGTGCACTGCAAATTCACAAATATTTTCCACTGTATCCACATGGGAAGGAAATTTCAGAGTTTACTACTCCCTGTATTGTGGGCTGCCACAGCTTGGTGGGGCTAAGGGGGAGATTTCACTCTGGGTCCTCCCGAATGCTGATCATGCTGCTTTTCAGGGCTGCCTCTGCAACAGTACAGGAAGAAGATGATTTGAAGCCAAGGAGGTGAGAATTAGGGTTCACATTTCTAGACAGCTGGAATACAGATTTGCTTTCTTAAGCCTGGTCAGCTAGGAAAGATAAAATACAGTATTGTTTTTTCTACCAACAACAAAACCAACAGATCTGCCCATAAAATTACCACCTCTTTAATTTCTAGGTTAGCAGCTTTTAATTCATATCCCCACCGACAGAAACTTGCTTGCAACAAAGAACGAAGTCCTTGTTTCGCTCATGCAAACCATTAGTTCATCCTACCAACATGGTAACATGGCTAATGATGTCCTCAAAGAATCATCCATGCTACTCACCCCATCTGCCAGTCATCCCTAGAAGTATTGCCTTTACCACGTTTTGTACAGCACTAACACCACTGCTGGCTCTAAATGAAGATAATGAGAATACTAATGATAATACTAATTCTTCTAGCCAGGTCACATGCTCGCTTTCCCACTTGGACCACAACACACCTTTCCAGCTGTTTAAAGAACAGATTGCAAGGAGAAGGGAAAAAACTACTTCTGCAATGCTTACTCTATTTCTGAGCAAAGAAGCAGGGTGACTTCTTAAAGCCCTTAGCACTGGGCTGAGAGCCAGGACCGTCTTCGATATGAACTTCCTCTGTGGTCTCATCTCCTCCTTTATAGCAGAGATTTAAAAGCCACTTATTTCCCACCAATGACAAGCAATGACATAAGAATTAGTTAATATCTTGATGGTGGTTTGGAAATACAAAACGCCAGTCATTCTGACAGCTTCCCAAAGAGCAGAAGTTTTAGTACAAACTCACTCTGTCTCAAATATTACACGAGAAAAAAAAAACCCACACAATCCAAACCCAGAAGACAAGCTTGAGCTTTAAGCTGTCAAAGAGTTTAAATTTCTCCCCTGATTGGAACCTCTTAGAGCAGCTAGAAAAAAACCATTTTCCTCTGTATTTAGCAAATGCCAATTCCCCTTCCACCCTATTGTTGCTAATTGGGCAGAGATAACCCCAATTTACTTGTGTCTATGTAGCAGCATCATTGCCAGTGTCAGTGCAGCCCTGGGAATGCTCCTTGCCTATTGACTGATACTGCTGCAGAGCCAGGAGGGAAAGCATCCAAACAGGATCAGCGAGAGAGAGAGAGAGAGAAAACTACCTAGCAGCATCAAAAAGTCTAAGTTAAGATGATTTCTCTGCCAGGTAATGATTAAGTAAAAGCATCCTTCTACGTCTGGAACACAAATGCTGTAACAAAAGGGACATAAAAGTCTATACTTATCTACTTGGATTCTGAAGACAAACAGATGCCTCAGAAAAGCAGTAATAGCTGTTTCAACATCTCCTGGCTGGTTAACTGCGCTCAAATTTAAACACGGCTACCAGTGAATTTCACTTCCATCCCCTAGTGAATCGGCAAAGAAAACAGAAGGGCTATCAAGCCTTCAGGCATAGCTTGCTACCCCCAAATAGTGCCATGCTTCCAAGAGAGCTCAGAAGGTAACACCAGAAATAAGAACATGAAAATCATGAAGACTCAGTGCACCTATCGCTAGAGACTGTCTCTTACCAGGAACATACTCGATGCTTCAGATGATGATGTTAAGAATTACCCAAGGAGCCAACTAGAGAACAACCTGGCCAAAAAGGCAGTTTCTCCTGAGTATCTGGCCGCTAGCTGCTGGCTCATATTCTAAAGAAAGAAGGTTCACGTTCAGTTCGTTTTTTCTCTTCATCCCTTGAAATACATAGTCCTTTGTTTAAATGCTATGGGTTGCTGGCCCAGTGCTGCCCTATGGTAATGACCCCCACTGGTAACTGGGTTGATGCGAGGACATTTTTAGTTTGATCAGTTTTGACGTCGTCTGCCCAGCTGTCTCCCTGCCACTTGTGCTAACTTATCCTTCCAGCTCTGCTAGTTCCAGAACAGAACTCAAACATCGAAAGACAGAGTCGAGGTTATCACAGGTTCAGCTGAGAAGTGCATGTAAGAGTCACTTTCCCCACTACAGACAAATGTGAGAACTCAGGATATCAGTTCTGAGCTCAGAGCTGAAAATAGTGCACACTCCTACAGAAGGAATAAAAGTCCTTAAAGGGCAGAAGGGCAACCTAAAGGAAAGGGAAGAAAACAGCTCCAAGAATCCCACAGAAGCATACTTGGCTGTGGCAGCAAAGAGACTCTCTCAGGCTATGTAACGCCTGGAGTATTCACTTCTTCTTGCTCAGAAATGCATCCTTGAAATCCAAAGCTTTTCTATTTTCCACTAGAACCAGCTGAGCAGGTCTGCCTCGCCACCCGATACATGCTCTCAAGGGCGCCATACCAGGGACTCTGCCTCCCATTGTGTGTGTAGAGGCTCAACTCTGTTCCCACTGGAAGTAAAGGGAGTTTTCCCAGTACTTCCAGTAGAAACGGGGTTTGCCCAAATGTTTATATGCAGTAGTGAAACTAGGCAGCTCCGGGACACGACCCTAAGTGACCAGAATTGGCACTCTAAACTGAGACAGACCCCACAATAATAGGAAGCACAAGGCAAGCTTTGCTATCTGGAGTGGAAAGATTATACATAAGAGATGAACTTCTTAAACAAGAGGATATAACAGAAGGCGATTTCAGTCCAACCAACTCACTGTCTTTCATTCTCAAGCTCTAATCAGTCCATATCACAAAACTATAAAAGCCCTAAACAAGCACGCTGCCAATTGCTTTTCTCTGGGTTACAAACACACGAAAGAATGGGGGAGATATGGTAACAGCAGAGACAAGCCTGGCAGATCCTCCAGGTGGGGTGAGATCCAGCACCGTAGGATTTGATTCTCTTTAGAGTTTAGCCAGTAGCATGTATGGTATAATCTACGGAAACTGTCCCATTGGATTTTAAAACACAAACACAGCAGAATGTCATCATAAATAAGCAAAGTCTGTGTTAAAAAATTCTAAGTACACAGCATTTTCTCCAGTTCTGACACCTTTTTAATAGAAATCACTTGTTTAGGAAACAAATAGCACTTTTGTAATTTTTTTTTACAATGTTTCTTACCTTGATCTTATTTTAAGTAACACTAGGAAGACCTCAATATCTTTTATTTTCCTTTTTAATTTAAAAAAGTTGTTTTTTTTCCCCCAGATACAAAGATTTTGCCCTTGCATAAAAAAACAGTGCCCAAAACGATGACACAAGGACTCACAAAGACTCACTGTATCTCACTGACACTATTACTTCTAATCTATACCATGCAAGGTCCCATCTACCTCTTTAATTAGACTGTCAGCCTGAAAAACAGCTTTTCTATTCCTTATTTAGTTCTTGTTACCAAAAGAAGAGAAAGGAAGTGAAAGAAAAGGACATTTCTCTGTTCAGTTCACACATCTGGGTCGTGTGCTACTTTGTTCAGGATACCTTTGTTGTTTATAAATATAGAAAAGGGTTGGAATCTCATTTTCAAGTAATCGATGCACATTTTCTCTTGGGACACCTCCGTCCAATGCTCCAAGCTGACCCTGGATTCTGGCCCTCTATTTTCCCATTCCCAACATAGGCTTTCTGGATGAGTGTGAGGACCCAAACCAATTCTGCAAAGCATGTCTGTTGTTTAATGTGAAGAAATAGGATTAACCCAAAGCTGTTGGGACAGTAGATCATCAGTCTGTACATGTGCTGGTTACTCAGTGAAAAGTCCATCTCCTTTCCTTTTGTACATCTCCTGTCTAAACAATAGTAAATACTGTTTATTTGATAAGACTTGTCCCTTCTGGGCACTGGGATTTGATAATTTATATTTCTGTTTTTTTGGTTTAATAGTACTGAGAGTTTAGAAACAGGAAAAGCCCACAGGCTCTTTGGACTTGTTTTTGTTTTACCCTAGCTAAACAAACTGTTCTGCAAATAAGGATTTGAAACCTGCTCTCCTCCCCCATCCCTGCTCCTCACCCCAAACAAAAATAAAACAAACCTATAGTGGCTGTGGAGGCTGCTGCAGGCACACACTGGTGTAAAATATAGAGAGAGTAAATATATTATTTCACTTGGCATGGTGCTGGCAAAGAACCCCCAGCTGGCACTATTCATGTAACATGATCCAAACTTTGCATGTACACACAGAATAAGAAGGATCAATTGGCAAACTCCGGTGCCGCCTGGCACAAGCATCTTCACGCTCTCTCTGGAACCAAAGAACTAAAGAATTCTGCACTTTCCAGAAGAAATCCGGTTTTGCTTTTCTAGAGTTTCATTATTTTGCTCTTCCTCCTCGCCGCCACCTCCCTTGGCTCCTTCTTAACTTCACTGTGTTATTTAGTCTCATCGCCCTTGTTACAGTTCACCATGCAGCTCTGGGAAGGGGAGGGGGCTAAGGTGGAGGTGGCAGCATTAGTATTGTTAGTGGAGTCCATGCCATTGGAGATGGCTACTGAATTGACCTCAGAGTTTATGGGTTTTGAAAGGTCGATGCCTTGGATGAGGCGGATCAGCTGTTTTACCTTCTCCAAGGAGCTGTGCATCTCCTTCTGTTTTGCAAGGATGGTATTCTTCATTTCCATGCATTTCTGCAGCAAAACAGAAAAGCAGTAATAAGTTTAAGCTTATGAATGAAAGAAGGTAAGAGAAGGAATATGATGTTCACAGATCTAAATGTAAGTATGCAGAAAAGGCTGCAGATACAATTTCACTTTCCCAGCCTAGAAGAAAAAGAGTCTCAGGGCTGTGTTCACAGGAGAATGCGTATTTGCAGGCTGAGGAATTAAATTGCCAGTATGTAGCTGTCACCTGGTGTGGCCCCCTTTCATCCCAAGGTGTTTTGCAAATCCACACAGACAGCTCCATCCTTTTGTGTTCCTTTTGAAGGGAAACTTCCAAGTATACGTTCTTATTATTTTTCTATTAGTATTGCATTGCTGAAATTTCTTTAGCTTAGATCTGCAAACTCAGGCATCCTACTGCAGCTGACTGCTGACAGTGTGTGTATGTATGCCGCTAATGGGATACAGCCTTTGCTTTCACATACATTTTAGCAGGAACATCACTTCCTCCTCTCAATAAATAAAGGGGCACTTGAAAAGAAAACCAAGCCCTTCTTCACTTGAAAATCTTATTTTGTGGCCACTTCTTTCTCTTAGAAGCGGTAGTAACCTAGCTAGCTCATCAGTTAAGAGTCAGGATAAGATAACTTTAAAAAAAGCCTACAAATGATGTTTCAAGGGGGAAAAACTGCTTATATCTATATTTGAAACTCTCAAAAAGGAGGAGATGGTAGCTATGTCTGTCACATTCAGGTTCTTACATGAAGATGGCAACCTTCCTACATTTTTAAACCTTTTATCTACACTGATCTCTAGACACTGTTGGTTTCAGCTTTACTATTTTCACATGCAGCTTGTGGCATCATAAAAACGCCACAAAATTTAAACCTAATGTGTCTTTTTTGGACAGTTCCAATGAAGGTATAAACAATGACTTGATCATAGAAAATAAACCATTCTCCTTACCTACTGTCAATCCCTCATGTTAAGGGCTTGCACCTGCCTGGGTACATCACTGAGAAACAGTGTTAGTGCTCTAGTGCTGCTCATGTTATGCCCAGCTACTGCTAACCAGAAGATGACAGCCTCCAGAACTGCTAACCAGCACCTCTCACCACTTGTTTGCTCACAATCATTTTATTTGTATCGCCAGCATTTAGTGGTCTTTACACATCGGACACTTACTTTTGTCCTAATAGCTAAAGACAGGCAGACCAGAAAGTGCATCTGTATTTAACAAGAAAAGTCTGTACTTATGCACCCAGCCTTACAGATGCTGCCACGTAAGAGATTTCAGCATTTTTCATTCTGTAATACTGACTAGGGCTACGCTAAATGAGGGGCTCAAACTTTACACTGGCAACTCAAGAGCCTGATTTGCATATTAAGGTGAGAAGAGAGAGCGAATTAATATGTATGCTCCAATTACTGCAATAAACTAAGGTGGAAACTACAGCTTCTGGTTAGAAGTATAACATCATCTAATTAATATTATGCAGAGGCATGCACAGTGTCCAGCTGCTGACTGCCAAGGCAACATGTCAAGAGCCCGAGAGCCAGTCATGAGTAAATGGTCACTTTTGTATTAGGAAGGTCTGGAAAGCGCACCAAGACTGTAACGCTTATTACACACAGAGGCCCAACGATTCATATTTAAGTAAGCCACTAGAGAATTTGACTTAATCTACTGCCCACAGACAATAATGCTCTGGGTCATGTTTGTCACCTGCTGATATTATAGGTCACCACACATCCACAATATACGGTCAGCATGGATCATGTGTAAGTGACTCAATCTAAGTATATGTTGCCTGTATTTCA